ACTACTACTACTACTACTACGACGATTACTACGACTACTACTACTACTACTACTACGACTACGACTACTACTACTACTATGACTACGACTACGACTACGACTACGACTACGACTACTACTACTACTACTACCACTACTACTACTACTACTGCTACTACTACTACTACTACCACTACTACTACTACTACTGCTACTACTACTACTACTACTTACTACTACTACTACTACTACGACTACGACTACGACTACGACTACGACTACGACTACGACTACGACAACTACGACGCAACTACTGCTACTAGCTCATGGAGTTCTCGGCGGGGATGGTGGGTGGAAGGCGGGGATGGTGGGTGGAGGGGGGGGGAGCGATTATATTTATTTATTTTTTCTCGGGGGGGAAGGGGGGCGCGGAACATTCTTATTTTGTGTGTATTCCAATGCATTCGTATGTCTTCCAATTCATTCGTATGTCTTCGGAAAAAAATTGAAACCCAATTCATTCGTATGTCTTCCAATTCATTCGCATGTCTTCCAATTCATTGGAGGGGGGTACCCCCCCCCGAACCAATATTATTATTTCGCGGAAATAAAAGGCGGAACGCCAATTCATTCGTACGTCTTCCAATTCATTCGTATGTCTTCCCCCCCAAAAGAAGCTGAACCCCAATTCATTCGTATGTCTTCAAATTCATTCGTATGTCTTCTCGGCGGCGATGGTGGGTATGTCTTCCAATTCATTCGTATGTCTTCTCGGCGGGGGGATGGTGGGTGGAGGGCGGGTGATGGTGGGTGGAGGGGGGGGGGAGCGATTATATTAGTTATTTTTTCTCGGGGGGGGAGGGGGGGCGCGGAAATTATTATTTTGTGTGTATTCCAATGCATTCGTATGTCTTCCAATTCATTCGTATGTCTTCGGAAAAAAATTGAAACCCAATTCATTCGTATGTCTTCCAATTCATTGGGGGGGGGGGTAGCCCCCTTCCGAACCAGGATTATTATTTCGCGGTTCATTCGTATGTCTTCCAATTCATGGGATTGGATGGGGGTACCCCCCCCCCGAACCATTATTATTATTTCGCGGAAATAATAATAATAATGAATCGATTTCGATTCATTATTAAACTTATGTTATTGTAAAAAAGCCCTTTCCTTTTATAAAAGGTCCCTGAACTGAACACTTCAAAAAACATATTACAAATATTTTGTACCAAAAAAATGAGCAAACATCAAGTTTTTTTGGGAAAATTGTGGCACACAAAAGTTGGATATCAAACAATTAGTTTTTTGGAAATTGTGTTGCATAGTTTTGATTTATTGGGCCGTTCTTTCGAACATGTCCGAAAAAGTCAAACGCGATGAAAAATTTACTGAGAGTATGTCCGAAACTATGTGCGCAGTGAGAGTGGCAGCGTCAAACCAAACTCTGAAGATTGTTTTTGGTTGCTTTTGTTGTCCAGCCCGTTTGCAATTTTCACAAGAAACAATAACATGTTCCACGTGAAGATCATGGCTCAAGGTTTCCAACTGTTGCACCTGTTGCACTGTGAGAGTGCTGTAGGTAAAGTTTTGACCCTATAAATTGTAAAGGTTTTCTGCCTTTGCCCAGCGTCCTGTTGCGTGTGGAGCCTGAATGGGTGAAATGGGAAAGAGAGAATAGGGGGGGGGGCAGGGCGGCCAGTTAAATGCCATTTTTGGAAACGTTCAAGGCTATTAAACGTTTGGTTTGGGGTATGCACAAAGATTGAAAGCAACATCTAGGATGTGGTATTTGGAGATTCAGCCATTCCAAATCCAGTGCACTGTGAGAGCTCCTTTTGTAGCGTTTTCTCTGGGAATGTAAGGAGTGACACTGTTTGTAACAACGCATTGCTACCTTGAAGGACTCATGTTATGTTTGCAGTCAAAAAAACAAAATGTTTTAAAACAAATGCACTGTGAGAGTGCAGTTACCAATCTACCGTTATTGCCTTGATCTTCCTCAGTGCGGAGCCTGAGTTTTGTTGGGTTATTGTTGTTCAGGCATGTGAACCATCAACTAGTTTGAATATGTTTGAATCTAACTGGCACTGTGAGAGTGCTTTGTTTATTGAATAAATTCCCCTGGGTCAAGGTTCTGTTTTGAACATGGCACACTTTGCTTTAACGTGACGTAACTTAAGGTCGAAACATGTCCCACGATGTAAACCATGGTGGAACCATGGTGGAAGGGAAAGTGTTCTGAACAGTAATTAAACTATCTTCCACTAAGAGTATAGTAAGCTCCGTTCAATTTGCAAAACAAAGCAGTGGTCATCTCAGTGGTGCAGTGCAATGCTATGTTCATTGGATTTCTCCATGATTTGGTGATGTTTCTGTGGAAAAGATCCAAGCCTGCCTGGATCCTATAATATGAAGCCAGGATGTAAATGCATATGTGTATCAACCTGTATGTTAATATATCACATATGTATTATTACATAAATATATGCATATCATAAATGTACTATATATATATATATATGTAATGACGGATATGATCAATTGCATACATGTCGAGCGTCTCTCAGGACTCAGGTTCATCCACTTCAACGTCCGGATCCATTTTAGTTAATATAGAAACTTGTGGTCGCTGTGAGAGCGATGCTAAGGCCAGGCAGGACTGACAGACCAGCACTGTGAGAGTGCGGCTGTCAGGTGCACTGTGAGAGTGCTGATTTCTGATCATTCTCAAGGCGGTGGTAACAAACTCAGTCTGGCAAGCTCAGTCCAGGGAGCCTCCTGCTATGATAATGGTTAGAAGCTACTAGCCACTAGGCAGCTGTTGTGATACAGAGAATGCAAACACTTCAAAAGTTAAATTTTTAGTGGGTCGACATTTTTGAAGTCACAATAAGTGATTTATTGGATGGCAAAAGGCTAAACCTTTCATTCAATTTCAGGACCCTGATGCCAGCTTCCTTAACACTAGACATAGACTTCAAAGATCGCACAACCCCATTCAGACAGACATGGCTATGTGACAAACCATTCAATGTTAAGAATGGGCAGCCAAAAGCTTCATCGTTCAAATTCATTGTCAATGCCACCCGAAAAAAAAATCATTGAAACGTCAGGTTTTCAATCAAGTATATATATATATATATATTATATGCACATATACATATATAGATATATATGTATATATACATATATATATATCATATATATATATACATATATATATATATACATATATATATATATATGCCCCAGAAGACACACAGCCAGTGCTGAGGCCACCCATCCATGAATGTTGGCGCCAATGACCAACCATCACTCTCACAGTGATTTCCTGTGATCCCTGCCCAGGCTGTGGTGGCAGTCCACTGGGCGCTGCAGAAGACACACAGCCAGTGCTGAGGCCACCCATCCATGAATGTTGGCGCCAATGACCAACCATCACTCTCACAGTGATTTCCTGTGATCCCTGCCCAGGCTGTGGTGGCAGTCCACTGGGCGCTGCACGCACCAATGTCTGGGCATCTCAGAACCTAAGACAGGCGTTGCTGAGTTTCTGTCAGTGTTCCAGTGGCACCCACACATCAAGAGTGATGTTTTTTCAAGTGTCAGATAGATATCGATCAAACCAGGCTTATCCTAAGCCAGCACTGATGCTCAGAATTGTCATGACCAAAACCCACCATTATGCACTATTATTGTGGCCCAAGACGGATGCAGTCATGTTTGGACAAGAGGGACAAGCTGCAGCCCTACATGAGACGAACAACCATTACAATTTTCACAGGCATGCCAGGTGATTCAAAACAGTTGTCGGGACTGGACATTGACAGAAAGACACATTGACATAGTAACAAATGCACAGGCATGTGGCATCTACCGAATCAGATGTTACTAGCGTTGTTGCTATTTATTTTGTTCTGCCTGTGCACCTCTCAATTCATCCAAGCCTGTGCAACCGAAGCCATGGCTGCAAAGAATCAGAAGGGGACAGAAGCCACGGCTCCAAAGAAAGGGACAGAAGCCACGAATCAGAGGAGGACAGAAGCCACGGCTCCAAAGAAGGGGACAGAAGCCGCGGCTCCGAAGAAGGCAAGGCCATTGCCACAGCCAAAAGTTGCAGCAGCAAAAGCAGCAGCAGCAACGCACCAGCAGCACCAGCAGCTGCAAAACTTGCAGCAAGGCCATTGCCACAGCCAAGAGTTGAAGCAGCAAAAGCAGCAGCAGCAGCACCAGCAGCTGCGAAACCTGCACCATTGCCACAACCAAAAGTTGAAGCAGCAAAAGCAGCAGCACCACCACCAGCAGCTGCAAAACCTGCAGCACAGCCAAAAGTTGAAGCAGCAAAAGCAGCAGCAGCACCAGCAGCTGCAAAACCTGCAGCAGCAGCAAATGGCTGCACCAGTCCTGGCAGCTCCCTTCCCTTTCGTGCCAGCGACATCCAAAGCAAAACCACCCTTTTCACACAAAGTACCGCCTCCGGAACCAGCAGGACCACCACCTGCGAAGCCCGGAGAAGCAGCAAGACAAGCACCGCCTCCGGAACCAGCAGGACCACCACCTGCGAAGCCCGGAGAAGCAACCCCACCAAATTGGAACTCGTCCAATTGGAACTCGTCTTGGGGCTCTGGGCAGTGGAAGCAAGGTGGTTGGCAACAGGGCCACTGGCAACAGGGCCACTGGCATCAATCGGCAGATGCAGCAGCTGCCGAGGAGAGAGCAAGACAGGAAAAGGAATTGGAAGAGCAGAGGATGATTCAGCAGGCGCAACAAGTGGCAAACGAAGCACAAAGGCAGGCATCACTTCAGCAGCAAGCTGCATCAACTGCTGCTTGCAACCTGGCATCCTTTGTGGTGCAACAGCAGCAGTACCAGTACCAGCAACAGTACCAGCAGCATTGCCAGCAGCAGTACCAGCAGCAAGCTGCAGCAGCTTCCAACCAGTCTAAGGAGGGCTCAGCTCGGGTCTCATCTGGCTACAGGGGCAACCGTGGCAATTCACAGAACTTGCGAGATGGTGGCAGGTTTGAGAGGCTTCATAAGCTGAAGGAGGCATCTGAGAGGCAGCTGCGTGAGAAGACGGCAGAGGCCAAACATCTCTCAGCCCAACTGGACCAAGCCAGCAGGGATGCCAAGTTGGCTTCAGAGAGAGAAGAGAGGACGGTCAAATCTCTTGAAAAGTCAATGTTGGAGACCCACGAGCTCAAGATCCAGCAGGCGTCTCTGAAGCAGGAGGTAAGGGAGCTGCAGCTGCAGCAGTCCAAGGAAGATGTGAAGCAGGAGGTAAAGGAGCTGCAGCAGTCCAAGGAAGATGCAGAACGTGAAGCCCAGGAGCTCAAAGCCCAGCAGGCCGATCTCAAGAATGAGCTGGAGAAGACTCAGCAGAAACTTGAAAAGTTACAAGGCCATCTGCAAGAGGCAAGGGCTGAGCGTGACAATGCAATGGAAAAGAAGGTCAAGTATAAGAAGGAGCTGAAAGAACTACAGGCCCTGACGGCCAAGGAAGCGAATGAGTCAAAGGAGCCAAGGGAGGCAAAGGCGTCCCAGGAGAAGGAGAAAAAAAAATCGAAGGATGCCAAGAAAGATCGCAAAGTTGCATCACAAGATGAGACTAACAAGAGAAAACGAGATGAGATGAAGTGAAAGTCGCAGAAGAGAAGGCAGACTGAGGAGATTGACTGAGCACAAGGCATGAGAGAAAATCAGGGCCGCAGCACATCTTTTGACCACACACAATGTACAGAATCATTTTTCAAGTTGGCTGGGATCTTTGACCGTAGAGGCCTTTGGTTGCAACAATCATGTGTTATGAGCTATGTATATAATCAAAAAGCCTGGGGTCACTGATGAACATTTAGAATGAAAGTATCCAGTGTTCAATTCAGTCACCAATCAAAATTCAAGCATTGTCATTGATCACTACCATGCATAATCTAAAAATATTCAAAATAAATGGCCTCTATGATCAAACCATCCCCTTGGCACTCCCATTGTGGTTGAGGAAGTCTCCATGACGCTCCCATCATGGTCGAGAGAAAAAGTGGAGGGCTGGGGTTCATGTGACATAGCCTCAGCACTGTGAGAGTGCCTGACATGGAACTGCATTGTGAGACCTTGTGTGATACCTTGCTTGCACATGCCAAATTCTTTGGCGCCAAGGAACCTACATCCAGAATGGGTGGCAGCCACTGCCCCAGTGGGTGAGTGAGGGAGATGGGACATATTTACTACATTAACCTGGCACTCTCACAGTGCACGCTGGCACTCTCACAGTGCACGCAGAACCTTGTTCAATTGTAAATCATTCAAATTATGGCTGGTTGATGACTGGCTGATGGCTAAAAGCATCCACATCTTACCTAAGTCCAGTTTGGTTTTGAACTACAACTGATTACATATGGGCTATTATTCTATTGTTCTAAGGTCATGGCTTAGGGACTTGTAGATGTTTTACATTTCAATTGCTAGATTTCCAAAAGCTGCCTCAGCCCCCACAAGTCCAAAAAGAAGTCTGCACCATGGATAAATCCATACATTGGACACCAATTCAGCATCTCAGCCCAACCTAGGTTCTGAGCCCCCTGGCCATTTGAATGTTGCAGTGGAGTGTGTGGGCAGGTGCAGCACAGAGTGATTGAGTGCATGCATGTATATGAATACCCCAGAACCTGAATGAATGTGGAGCCCACTCTCACAGTGAGCAACCAAATGTGAAAAATGACAGGTGGTGACATGGATGAAAAAGAGATCCTACTTAACTCTGGCAGTGATATTAGCCCAAGCTCTCAATGTTGGGTTTCTTGAGTTGGCTTTCATTTGAACCGCCTCCATTATATCATCATGGGACTGAAGACAGACATCATTTGAAGCCATTTGGCCCCAGTTTTGTCCTGGCAACCCTGGCAGTGATACAAATATCAAAATAGTGATTGGTCGGATTGGATGGTTTGGATTGTGTGGATTGCATTGTTTGGTCGAATTTGTATCACTGCCAGAATGCTTCGTTGCAATGTATGCGGTGAGGAGCGCTCCAAGAGGTACTGGACACCCAGCCAACACCAAGCGCGCAAATGCGTCTTGCTGCGTTGGAACTGCTGCCGTCTCTGCGATCCGTGGAACTTCTACACAAAGTCATCGGACATAAGAGCGGCATATGCCCAGTTGTTCCTTGTGTTTTGTTTCAGTTTTTTTGCTTTGGCTAAATCGTGTTCTATGTCGTTTTCTTGTTGTGTCTTGGCTGAAACCTTGGTTTAAAACTTTAAGATGCCAGTGTTTGTGTCTAAGGTACAAACTCAAAGAGAAATTAGATGACAACCGCATGTACATTGAGAAGCAGTTCCAAGTCCTGATGGACAAGCCGTATATGGTCAGGAAAAAACTTTCCCACAAAGGTTGTGTTGGAGTCTTGGCATGATTAACATATTTTAATCCAACTGCTATTTATTTTTATCTTTTACCCAGTTGGTATGATTCACTCCATGGGTCCCTGAATTGTTTCATCCTGCAATCCCTGCCAGATCATCCAGACCACCCTGGTCAACCACATGACTGTGGCAATGCAGTCTACACCGTTGCCGTTTGGCTTCTTTGTCCAGGAGTGCCGCTTGGCAAAGTGATTTGATTTTGGCTTCAATGTTTTCTGACGTCTGTGTTTTCAGTTTGAATGCGTGTTACTTTGTGCCAGCTGCCTCACTCAGGTTTGCCTACATGTCAAACAAGTCTGTAGTTGGGGACTTGGTCGAGGCACTGCTTGCTCAAGGCAACGACAGTGGGTTCAGGACGTTTCTTGAGCAATTCCTGCTTGCATTGGAACGATTCCTCATTGCAACCAAAGCTGAATCCTATGAAGACGTCACTTGGATTGCTCATTTTATTTTTTTGCTTTGTTTCGTTTCACATGTTTTTTTGTCGTCAGACATGTCTGTATTACTTTTTTTGTGTCGGACATGTGGTTGGAGGTCACCCACTGGAATGACATCAGAAGCATTGCGGAGGCCGCCCAAGAAACAGCCAATGAATTTAATTGATCGGAAGCTTCATCTGAGACATCTGCCCTGCTGGAACAGTGAAGATTTTTCTTCCAATCGAACCGGAATGGATGGATGATAATACATCATCGTCGTCCTGAAATGCAACTTTTAATTTTGCCCAATCATTTGCCAAATGGTCAAATTGGAATGGATGAACATCATCGTCCTGGATTTGTCGTCAAGGTGCTTGGAAAACCATGTCACAGGAAGATGCAGGTATGTTATAATACCAACGGAGTCCACTTGCATACAAGTTTTACATGCATTGTACGAAACCTTTTTTTGCAATGTGCATGCATGGGAACATGATGGATGCACTGTGAGAGTGTTTAATGAGCAAAATGAAAATGAGCCCCAACACCCGGAAGAAACAGTGGCCATGGTTCTGCCTAGGCCACCAGCTCTTACTTGTGCACTTCATGTTGCTGCTGCTCTTTGCATGCCTGAACCCCAGACTAGCGCAGCCATGAATTGTTTCTTTCCATGCACTGTGAGAGTGCGAGGTATTAGAATAATTTGTTAGGAGTTCCATTGCCAGCCTCCTGCCAATTCCTCCACTGGGCCACTGGGCCAAGGAATCTTCAACTGGACATGGAACAGAAGGCTTGGAACCTCAGGAGTGTGGAGTGGTGGGTTATGTGGCGATGGCACAGAAGGTGTTGTTGGAACCAAGCTGTTTTTTTGGGGTTGGGGATTAACATAATGTGGCACACACATTGACATTGGGGGGCGCCCCCCCTTTGGGGCCCTTCACATCCTGCCACATTAATCCACACATTGACATTGGGGGGCGCCCCCCCTTCTATTTCCAGCGGGTTCTATTTCCAGCGGGGTTTCGGAAGCCAGAACGGAAGCCCCGCTTGCAGGTAAAATTGAAGATAAAACAAGACTTTGGGGCCCATGTCTGGTTTCAAGTCTTGAATGTACTTGCATCATGAAAAACCAATTCCAAAAGTGACCTTCAACCCGAAAAGAAATCTTGTCTCTTCCCTGTTCTTTATCATAGCTGTGGCCGGTCGCCTCTCAATCCTCAAGGAAACTAGGAACCATCATGGCGAAAAGCCAACAGGGGTCTCGAGGCCCAAAGCGGTCCCGGGCCTCAAAGATAAAGATGCGCTGCGCCTTCAAAAGGTGCAGACGAAATGTGGATGTGAAAAACGCAGGCGCTGAAAGGCAGCTAAAGTGTCAAGAAGTCAACATGGTCATGTGCCGGGCTGTGCGAAAACATTGCAAGACCATCAGGTTTTGCTGCAAAGACCACTTGAAGCAATGCAAGGCCACTCCACCACGCAAGAGTGGTGGGAAAGAAGCATTAACCCAGAACCAATGCATTACGCTGATTCAAACATTGCTTGTGATATGTCCATGGGCTGCCGTGCTTTCTCTTCTGCAGCTCTTTATTATTGACAGGGCCGACTGTGCCCGTAGCTGCCGTTGGGGTTGGCTATCAGGGATGGAACCTGATTCAAAGCGCCAGGCAAGTATCACCATACCGAAAGTGAATGGGAAAACCATCCCCCGAACCATTCCCATCTACCAGCCCTTTGCTGCGCTGTTGTGGAAAACCATCCATGGCAATCCCATTGAGGCCCCCAGCGGTGAGATGTGGCCAGCAGCAGGGCAAGATGTGGACTCACCAGAGTCACCTTTGTTTCCAGGCTTTGAAGCAGATGGCAAAACCCGAAATTGGAACAAACCCATTTCTGAGCGTGCGTATCTGGCACGTCTCGAGCAAGCAGCAAAAATTCTACGTGCACAAAGAGCTGTGGCGCAAGCAAGCAATGTTGCCCATGCTTTCCATGATTTTGATTTGAGCCGTCTAGGCACCCATTCATTCAAAAAGACATCTGTGACTTTGTTTTCGGAACACCAGGTGTCTTGGGCTATCATATCAGCTATTTCAGGCACTTCCATACCTATGCTGCAAAGAAGCTATGATGTTGCAACTCCTGTACGGCAGCACAAGGCCATGAAAGATGTCTTTGGCCAAGCTTGGCAACCTGTGCTGCTGACACAACGAGCCCATCTTGAAGAAAAAGACTCTCAACCAGCCAAGTATTGTGGAAAGTGTGGCCTATCTCGACGACATCCAGATGATATCTTTTGCACTGCTTGTGGGTCAGAGCTGTGACTAGGGTGCATTGGCTGATGTTAATGCTTCCCTGAGTAACAGAAACATCTATGTATACAGTAATTGCTAAACACCACGTTTTGACATCGAAATCAAAAAGTATCAAAAAGGTCAATGCAAACACGCTTATGTTTCACTCACATGATGCCGATGCCTTGCAAAAAAAAAAGTGATTCTGGGTGAAAGCCACTGTGAGAGTGGCACGTGTTCGAGACATGTGTCAGCCCCGCACTCTCACAGTGCCTGGTCCTTTGAGGCCTGGACATTGCGCAGGGCAGGGAGGCCTGGACGCAAAGTGGGTAACGCCAGCGAGCCGAGGCCGAGCCCAGCTGAGGTTTCGGCGGCACAATAGTTACTACGACAATACCACCACTACCAAAAAAATAGCTCCGAGGTTTACCACCAAAAAACACACCAAAAGGAGTCCGCAGCACTGTGACAGTGCAAGTTTTTTTGGCTACTCTGCGACAGCTGCCGGTCTTTGCCACGTCATTCGCCAGGACCATGCTTTTGAGAAATTCGTGAACTTGCACGGCCCAGTGCCAACCCCCAAGGCTTTGGAATAGACGTGAGGATATTGACGCAGATCTGATCACTTGGACAAAATCAAAGCTGACTTTGCAGGCACCACGACATCGCTCATCAAGAGCACTGCTGGGCGCACAGGCAACAAACCCTTTGCACTCCAACGGGTCAGGAAGACCACCTCGGCATAGCCACCCCAGGTGTTCACTGGCACAGCAGCTGCAAAGCTGACTTGCTTGGCAGTGACACCTGCCTCCGGATCCTCCTCAGCTGTCAAGCCTTTGGGCACAAACCCCACACGCTCATCTTGTGTGAGGGTCCACTGAGTCGGTTGGTCAGCTTGGGGACTGTCCACTTTTGTGTGGTAGCAAATGCCAATGCTGGGGTTCTTCAAAAGCTCAGCTTCAAGCAGATCCTTCACCGTTCTCAAAGCCGCTGCGTGGAACACAATGGACTCAGGGGACATCTTGAACTCAACCTCTTTCTCGCCAAAGTCCTGAGATTCAGATGCCTTTTTCCAAGTTCCTTGCCCAAAGCCAGCCACGATCATGCCCGCATTCATCTTCACATCAGCAGCAGATCCATTGATCAAGAAGATCTGGTTGTCACTGCCTGGCAAACTGATCTCTGCCGCCAAGTGCCCCTTTGTCAAGAACTCGGTTTGGGTCTGCAGAAACCACTCTTCTGCAACATTGTCGTCGGTCAATGCGATGTAGGCTGATGGCTTGGTCCACTGCTGCCTCTGCTGGATCCAGCCCTGGAACATGTCACCAGGTGACATGTTGAGATCAACCAGAATGATGCCGCCATTGGGGTCCACCTCCACTCCTTCCAAACTGTTCTCGATGAGACAAGTGTAGGTGGCCTTCCCCAGCTGCTCGAACTTCTTCGCTCCTGCCACAGTCCCATCGGCATCTGTGGTGTGCGGCAGTGCACCATCAGCACAGTCTTCCACCACCTTCATGTCAGCTGTTGCAAGCTGCTCAATGGGGGGTGCGCGGCCTTCCTTCACCAGTGGGCATGCAGCGAACACCCAGTCCTTCTCCCTGAAACTTTGGCCCATAGCAATTCGGGCCTTGTACACCAAGGGACGTGTGTCACGGGTGTCTTTGCGCGCTTCGAACTGGATTGCCAAACTCCGGTCGATAAAGAGCCCACCATTGCTCAAGGCCTCCAGACAGGACATCTCAGCTCTCCAGCTCTGACCACGTTTGTAGCTGAATTCTGGCATGATAGCCACAGCCATAGCCGAACAGCTCTGGTTCAAGATCACACTAGCCATGTTTGCCTGGCAATTTCGCAAAGCGTCTCGGATTCTGCACACAGCTGCCCAATTGAGCATCACCACAGTCACCAGCTTGTCTTGCTGGAGTCCATAGGCCTTGCAAAACTCGGACTTGAAGTCAGCGAAGCGCCTCAAGTTCTCATCGGACTGCGTGGAGCACAGGATCTTGACATTCCTGTTCAAGAATGCCCCTGCAGCACCATGGCTGTTTTCCCAAGCTTTCATCCGGTGCGCAAGCTTTTGCTGATACAAAGTCCCTTCAAAGCTGGTCAAGCGAATCCGATAGACTCGGATAGCCTGCCAGTCATACTCAAGTCGATTCTTCACCAGTTTCCAAGTGTCTTCCTCAAGCTCGCCGATCTTCATTGCTTTGGCCCCCTGCACCGGCACAGAGTTGGCATGGGCATCCATCCTCAGCTCGAAGTGTAAGAAAAACAGACTGAACATGTTAAACACAAGACTGTGAACCTGATAAATGATCAATCTACCACTCTCACAGTGGCTCACAGTGGCCACTCTCACAGCAGCAAAAAACGCAGTTTCCTTGACATGTGTTGATCAAGCTTCCACTCTCACAGTGGCTGATTTAACGCAACCAAGATTCAGCTCCGCAAGTTGCTTGACACCTCGTGGTTCAAGCGAGGCATCCTTCTGAGACAAATGCATTTGAACCTCCAACATCACAGATTGGTCACACCGCATCCAAGCGGTCACCCAATTCTTCTCGATCTCGCCATCATCCAATGGCACTTCTTGCTTTGCATGGCCTGCCATGTTGATCACAAAGGCTGCCTGCTGAGCAAACTGCTCCAAATCTGAGCGGGTAAACTTCCGCCTGGATTCTGGGCTGGTGGCCCCAAACTTTTTCACAGCATGTTGAACTGCCAAAGTTGCCGACCCCACCGTCACTCTTCCCAAGGCCGTCCATGTTTTTGACCCGCTGACATTGCGGAAGGTGTGTCCAGGTAGCAGTTTTTTCGACGACAAAGCATCATCGGTAAACGCGCAGCTCTGCCATCCAACCAGCTGCACGTGCTCCTGCACACACTTCAAAGCTTCAACGGGGAAATCCTCCAGCAAGGCCCGGACTGCTTGAGCTTTCGAACCCGTTAACTGAAAGTTTGAAGGGTTTTGCGAGTTGAATTTTTTGATGAGAGCCTGAACATCCACCTTGCCAAAAACCATCAGGTTCTGGACTGCCTGGACCCAGCACATGATGCTAGGAGCTTTGCGCAAACTGCCTTTGATCGAGTTCTTGAAGTTCATCAGCAATTCGTCTTTCAAGGTTTGGGTCTCCACATACTGGCAAAAGATGTATTGAACACTTTCGTAAAGAGTTGGGTGAACCTGGCCCGACAGAAATGCAAAGCTGAATAAAGCACAGCGCAATGTTAAAAGAAACATATACCAAATCGGAACAAGTGGGTCAACCAAGAAAACCCTCAAAATTAAACAGTGAAAATGTGGGCCTAGCAACTTCCTCAATCTTCAGGTTGTTGTCATGAAAGATGCTCAAGATGCTCAGCAAGGTATGCATCCTTGCCTTGCCCTTGCAGAACCCAACTGCAAAGGGCTGCAAACGGTCTGCAGGCTGAACTTGACACGGGCATGCCTTCATCACATCAGGTCGGAGCGTAACCAGCAGCGGGTCAGCCTGTGACTCGAAGCCATTGGTCAGGATCTGCTCGGCCAGATCCATTGTGTGCTTTTGATCCGTATCTGGCTTCACGCTGCAAAGCGCTGCAAACGAAAAACACCAGGCGGGCAACTTGAGCATGGTGCTGGATGGCTGCTCTGACCACTTCTTGGAGTCAAACAGGTTGTGCATGGGGTGGCTCTGAGCAGACAAAGTGTGGAGATACTCATAGAAAAGCATGGCTTCTGCACGCTCCTTGTACCTCTGCTCCAAGTAAACCCGGGCAGATCCAAACTTCTCCAGCAACTGCTTCAGCGCTGAGATCACAAGGTTCTTTTGCAGGTCCAAGTCGGTGGCCTCAGGAATCAGACCCTCGGTCCACTCAGTGGTTGCCATCTCTTGCTTCATCTCCATCTTTTTGTCTTCCTCCTCCTCTTTGACACCCGCTGCCTCCTCTTTGACATAGGCATCTGGGCTAAGACCCTGCTCAGACTTGACCTCCATATGGTCCATATCCATAGCTTGCGGGGACGCCATGCTTGGGGATGGCAAGTCTGGGCACACGGGCAAAAAATGAATGTTGGGAGTTGCGCTGGACAGCCTGTGGTAGGTTTGGCTGAATCAGCTTGCTGGCTTGAGTGGGAAAGGCACGACGCAGTGAAATCAAGCAGTGCAATGGCCACTCTCACAGTGGTGTCAGACATGAAATTGACAGAATCCTGGCCAAGGTCAATATTCCACATCCAATGGTCTATAAAACAAGACAACACATCATCGTGACTATAGCTTTCTTTCCTTCATGGTCGCACCCTCTGATTCCAGCCTTGATGTCAACACAGCCACAACAGCTTAGGACACCTGGCCACTGACATGAAAGAATAAAGTCTTGGAGTGAAAAATCAAAACATACCATACTGTACATGCAGCATACACCTTCGAAAGCTGACGTGACAAAAATACAAGGCCAAACAAGAACATGCGCAAATGTCAATGTGTAGGAAGGTGAAGAAAAACCCCAATCCAGAAAAATAAATATATACATCCATGGATACCGCAGAAATCGACGGATCAGCTGTCTCCCCAAAAAGCGCCGGATCAACTGTGAAGAGCATATCGACGGATCCAGTAAAATCGCCGGATCTCCAAGGGCCGCTAAAAATCGCCGGATGTCAAAGGGTCTCAAGTGTGAGGTCATCCTCTGCTTCAGTCTGGAGATCTGTTGAAAAAAAAAATCGACGGATCTCTTCCAAGGTAGAGCCATCTGAAAGTAACAAGTTCCTTAAAAACCATCAGATGTCAGGTTCAAGAAAATCTAAACCAGAGATCTGTTGAAAAAAAAATCAACAGATATCAGCTGTACCAAAGCAATCCAACAGATGTCATGTTTGATTTTTGTCAAACATGACATCTGTTGGATTGCTTTGGTACAGCTGATATCTGTTGAAAAAAAAAAATCAACAGATCTCTGGTTTAGATTTTCTTGAACCTGACATCTGATGGTTTTTAAGGAACTTGTTACTTTCAGATGGCTCTACCTTGGAAGAGATCCGTCGAAAAAAAAATCAACAGATCTCCAGACTGAAGCAGAGGATGACCTCACACTTGAGACCCTTTGACATCCGGCGATTTTTAGCGGCCCTTGGAGATCCGGCGATTTTACTGGATCCGTCGATATGCTCTTCACAGTTGATCCGGCGCTTTTTGGGGAGACAGCTGATCCGTCGATTTCTGCGGTGTCCATGGATGCAGTGCATTTGCCTGCGCAAACGATTACAGGTATGCGTTGGTAACGGCATGTGTATTCGTGTGTGCACATGCACATTTGCATGCCTCTCAGACAATGTTTGCTGTCAGAAAACACAGGCAGATGCACAAACGAGAATCTATCCTACTTTCACACCCGTGTGTCCATACGTACTACCTAATACAAATAAACTCAACCAAAAAATGCCAGACGACACCAGGTGATGCACTGTACTTTCAATTGCGCAAGTTCTTGCAAACAACACTGTCTTGAGATTAGCATGTAGGAAGGGTAAATGATAAATGCCTTCATGCTGATGAGTGTGGACATATTGTTTGATGCAAGTCTGCACACATGCTTCTGTATCCACAAAGCCACATGGTGAAACAGCTTGTATCTAAGCATGCATGTGACGCATGTGCACACTTTGACCTAACCGAAAGCACAACAAAAACAATGTTCACAATGCAACAAGGCCATCACAAAAGAAGGGCCAAGCGGCCCAGCCCAGCAACGCATTGGGAGAGTGGGAACATGTTGGAACTGCCAAGTTGGGTCTGGATCAACTGCCCTGCCACTACATACGAACCACTCTCACAGTGGATAAGCAACATGCGCTCCAGCCTGGCAAATGATGAAGAGCCTCTCAGGTGACAGACACTCATAAACATGTCTTTTGACACCATTATATTGACATAAAGTATACCTGTCAAACCTTTGGATCTCACGGTGATCGATTTGGTCCAACGGGGCACAACGGGGGATCACCCTCTGAGCGCTTCGGCTGCACCCGGAGCTTCGCTGCTCGGCTGTGGCCAGCCCCCCTGCCGCAGGTCAAGGGGCACAACGGGGGAACCACAACAGGTAAACAACAAGGGGACACGGCTGGGGAACACCAAAGGGGTGAAATCAGAAAAGCTGTTCAAATGCTGTTTAAACGAAATGTGAATAGAAATAATGAAATCGAATTGAAATGTGATTTAAATATAATTGAAATGTGAAAAGTTAATCTATTTCTAATACATTTCTACGGTGCGATGCCCTTTTTTTCCATGGTTGCCAGGTGCGATCTCAGCACAGCTCTTCTTTGATGTGCGATCTCAGCACAGCTCTTCTTTGATGCATCGGACAATGGCCTTCACCATCATCGGAGGGTATACCTGAGCCCATTTGGAAACCTTCTCCCCTCTGCATGTGCCTTGGATAGTGGCATGTTCTTCACCACGAAGATCGCAAATGCATTGCCGATTGGCGAACTCCTCCATGATTGCCATTGAGTTCGTCATGAACTTGGTCAATTTCTGGAGCGGCCGTCCAGCTGGATCTCTGAGCCCCCAGCGGCATTGTGCAAATGAGAAGATCTTCACGCCAGGAAGCTGCTCTACCTTTGTGACGCTTTCTTCCTGCCAGGAGCTGGCACCGGAAGGATGCTCGAAGAGAAACTTCCGATCCCTTTTCACCTGCTCCTCACAAAGGTCCATACTATAGTCCAAAAAGCCCCGCGCTTCCACACCTTGGGCCTCCAATTTGTCTAGGTCCATCTTGGCAGCACAACAGTTTTGATGCATGATGGAAAAGAACGTACAAGGAGGGCTGACCAGCAGCAGGTGGGGCTTGTGTTTGCTGATCAAGTCTTTGCCCTTCTTCCGGTCCATTGCATTGTTGCAATCCCATCCGCTGGTCAGGTCCAAGCTGATCTGCGCCTTGAGGCCCATTTCCGTAGCAACTGGGACCAATCGAGGTGGTGAAAAAACCTCCAAAACAGCATCGTGTGCATGATGCTTGGCCTCACCAAAATGTTTTGGATACCATGGTGTTCGATCTGGAGGCAAGTCATCATCCTTCCTCTTCCGGGCCTTGCCTGTGGTCTTCTTGGGTTTGAGATGGGTCTTGCGCACGGTCTTCTTGGGCGAGGCCTGGCCAGTTGCTTTGAGGGCCTTCTCCTTCCTCTTGGTGGAATCCTTCTTCTTGGGCGAACCCTTGGGCTTTGCCTTGGAAGCTCCATGCCCTCGTCTTGGTCGAGCCAGCTTGCCCATCAGTTCCCGTTCCCCATCTGATTCCACATCAGAAGGGAGAGCTAGAAAACGCGCATCTTGTTCCGGGTCATCATCAGAAGGCAACTCGGATGGCATACCGCCCCAGTCTAGCGATTCAAAAAGAAAGTTGCAACTGGGACTTGGGCCTACGAATGCACCTGCAAAAAACGATTCCAAAACATAAACTGATAAACTTCCCAAGGTTTGGAGCAAACATGAGCAAACAACGTCGCGTTCAACTCCCAAGCCATCATCTTCAGAACCCCACTCTCACAGTGGACTTGCCCCGGTCCCAACCTGGCCTGCAACTGCAGCCGAAGGAGCCTCCGAAAGACAACAAAGATTTGAAGCAAACATATCCAAAGCCAATGCAATCATATCCAAAGCCCCACTCTCACAGTGGACTTGCCCGGGGTGTTACAACAAAATTTTGCTGCCGCTTTTTCTCATTCATGTCGTTCTGCTCCCCGCAGAAAGTCTGGAACAGAATGGTGTCTGCGACACCTTGACCTTTAGTCAGAATGTATCAGAGTCAGCAAAACCTGCGGCGCTTCTGCTGTGAAAAGGGCAGGCTGCTCACCAGGTCAAGCCTCTCATCACTTTGCATCCAGGCTTGTTGGGCTTCTGCTGCCATCATTCCTTCTTGGCGCTTCTGCTTCACATAAGCAACCCGCTTGACATTGAATTCGCCCGCTTTGTAACTACTGGTGCTTGCTGCATCGTCTGGCACTGGGGCGGCTCTAGCCTTTGGACTTGGCTTGGCCTTGGCCTTCGCTCTGCTCTTGGCACTGGCTTTGGCTTTTGCAACGCCACAGCCTCTTCCACGGCCTTTGCCACGCCCCTGTCCACGCCCAGCACCCACATCACCAGAGCCACCAGCAGACGCCAAAAGATCACTCAGCAAGACGTCTTCATCGTCCGCAGCCGGAGGCAAACCATCGGCTTGTATTGCTGCGTTCTCGGCTGGGAAAGACGGGGTCTCCATTGCCACTGAAATCTTCTTGGGCGCGAACTGCGCTATCACATTTTTGGGATCCATTTCGGCCTGGTTTGCTGATGCTAGGCGGTCCTCCACGGTGTGCATCTGGTAAAAACTCATTGGTGGTGCAACGGCTTTGGCCTTTACCATGGAATTGTGGCACAATGACTGCAAGTACTGGCTGGCTCGGATCATGCCCACTGGCGGGGAGGCACACAACGTTGCAGTCTTCTGGAACTCCTTGATTTGAGTCTGGCTCAACGCTTTCCGGGGCATAGGTTCAAGCGGTGAAGCGGCTTCCAGATGATCCAGCTGCTTAGCTGGCAAGATCAAGATGGGATGTTGGCAAAGGCTCTCGCTGTTCATGTACTGCTTTGCCAGCATGATCACATCCTCAGGTCTCTGATCTGAAGGCTCGCAGTCCTTCAGGGGTCAACTCAATATGTCAGCAGAACAATGCTGGCATCGACGGTGAAACTAAGAATCAAACCACCCGCCCACAATTTTTTACCATAGGTCCTGCTCTATGTTCCAGTCATCGCTGCCATTGTAGAATTGCAGGTCTTTCCTTTGCACAAAGCGGATGCAATGGGCAACATCTTTCGAGTTCTGATCAATGGTCAAGCCCTTGACACTTCTGTTCAACTTGCTGAGCCAGCTTTGGAAACATACTGTACCATCAAGGAAAAACGTGCGCAACTTCCGACCATTCAGAGGCACATAGCGGTTGCAAATCTCAGCTTGGAAATCCTGCAACTGCAACAAAAGGTTTGGTCAC